GGAGCGAGGAGAGCCAGCCCAAGTCCCAAAACTGAAGAACTTGGAATCCAATGTCCAAGGGCAGGAAGCATCCAGCACAGAAAGATGTAGGCTGGGGGGCTAGGCCAGTCTCTCCTTTTCAAGTTTTTCTGGCTGCTTTATATTAGCTGGAAGCTGATTAGATTGTGCCCACCAGATTAAGGGTGGATCCACCTTCCCCAAACCACTGACTCAAATGTTAATCTCTTTTGGCAACACCCACACAGACACACCCAGGATGAATACTTTGTATCCTTCATTCCAATCAAGTTCACACTCAGTATTAACCATCACACATGTTTAATGAGAGTTAAAGATAATGTGACTATTTACAAAGATGTAGGCAGAGTTAGGGGAACAAAGAAGGGATAGTGAAGCACTCTGTTACCAGCAAGAATGTGAACCTGTTATTCTATCTGGACCTAAAGGTAGCTACTGGAAATGTGACATAATATCAGAGCTGTAAGAGATGGGAGTCCAACAAGAACCATGGAGACACAGAAAAAAGGAAGACAAAAGAATAAATAATCTGACCTCACCATCCTCACTCCCTCTGATCTCCTATTGTCATTTCCCTTGACTTATCCCAACTAGAATCCAGTGGCAAGAAAGCCCATTGTTACAGTCGATATAGGTCAGGCTCCTGCCAAAGACCAAGATGAGAAGAGTGGAGGATAGATCTGGAGGAGCAAATAGAAAATATCCAGCACAATAGTCACTGAGTAAGTGAAAGAATATGACCGCAGACTGAAAGCAGATTGTGTGTAATGGAGAGCATAGCAAGCAAAAGGAACAGAATGTACTAAGGCCTGTGGCAGGAATGAGCATAAAGTCTTCTAAGAACGCCTGTTTTCAGGCAGAAGGACCTGGTGGAAGGCTACCTCAGCTAGTCAGAAGGGTGATCGTGTTCCAATCATAGTCAAGGAGGAAGAATAGAGGTCATGAAGATCAAGACTAAAAAGTATCAGATGCGTGGGGTGACATGGAGGCCAAGAAATAAGAAAGAGGCCCGAATGCAGAAGACAAGGAAGGTTGAGTGAAACATTACAGGCTATGAATCTTGAATAAAACAAGGGCATCCTGAGCTCATCTTCTTTGGGTGCTGCCTTGTGATGCAAGAGCATTTCCAGAGTCCAAATGGCAGACAAAAGTCTTAGGCCTTTCCTGAAGATATTTCAAAATGATGTTGGAATTAAAAGACTGCTATCTTGGGCCATCCCATTCAGTCATTTAGGCAACAAATATTTATTAATGGTTCTTATGTTTCCACTGTGCTCACTAGGTACTGAGAGATGATGTGATTCCTGTCTTTGGTAAGCTCACAGGCTAAGCAGGAAAGACAACCGTGTAAATAACTACTTGTCATATCCTGTGGTAAGTGCTGTTAGAGAGTGACATGCAAGGTGCCAGAGAACCCAGCCTACCCCGACTGGGGAATCAGGGAATGCATCCCTGAGATATAAGATTTGAGCTAGGTCTTGAAGGATGTTTCCCAGGTAGAAAAATGAGAGGAGGGAATGTTATCTAGGGGCAATGTATTGATCAGTGGATGCCAACTACTACTAAAACGATCTCTAAATCTCAGCTGTTTATCATAATAAAATTTATTTCTTGCTCATGCCATGTCCAGTGTGTTCTGAGTGGCTCTTCCCAAAGTGGTGATCCAGAGATTCAGGCTGTTTTCATCTTCAGTGCAGGGAAGGTATGCTGGACCTTTAACCACCTTGGCCCAGAAGTGACACTCATCACTTTGCCTCACATTCCACTGGCCATGCATGTAGATGCAAGGGGGTGGAGAGATGTAGTCTTGGGTAGGCAGCGGCTTCCTGGCAGCTGCATTCTGAGAGAGCGTGAACATTTGGTATGGGGTGATGGCTCCCACTGCCACAGGGAATTGCACATGAGGGAGCACAGAATGAAGTAAAGGGATGTGATTCCTAGCCTAGGGTGTGTGTGGAAGAAAGGAGAGGAGTAAAGAAGAAGAGACTAAAAAGGTCAGTCATTACTGGATGGCTCAGGACTAAGAACAACATACCAGAGAGACCTTCTCCTTCTCCCCCAGATGTGTGGAACTGTTAGAAGTGTGATATGGCCAGATTTGCATCTCTTCACAGTACACTCATTTCTCTTTTTTTTTCTGTACAAAAAGAGAGTGAGAGTTGTGCAAAGAGTTAAACACTGGATTTTCATCCTAACTCTGCCAACTGCTGCTTACCAACCTTGCTACCTACTTGGGCTGGCTACTTAGTATCTCTGAGCCTCAGCTTATCAATAAAATGGGCACAAAACTATATGTACTCTCTATTCCAGAGAGGCATGAAGATCAAATAGATAATGTCAGGCAAACATCCTTTGGCAACTGTAAACTGCTCTACATATACAAGGGGATTTAGTTATTCTATTTTTCCTCTGCCTGAGGGGAGATATTTTTTCCCAGAGCATGAAAGTATAACTCAATGACTGCTAAGTTCCTGAAATATATCCACTTCTGTGATGACCTACCAACGGTAGAATAAGAAATGAGCTCAATATTACCTCTATAAGAAAAAATAAATACAATTAGAGGCAGCTCCAATGCTTCCTAAGGTGCTATGTAAGAAAGCATAATGGAATTACCTGTGTTAATGACTTTTCTTCTTCCACAGTCTTGGAAACCACAGATGGAAAGGGCTGAGGTAGTATATTTCCATTAGAGCCTAAGTATTTGCTTTGACTCTTAGGGTTTTTTTTTCCCACAGAATTTATCCTTGGTCCTCCAAGGCTTTGTTTTCCAAAGTTGCATGGCTTATGTAGAGAAAGGGAAATGTCCCTCTACCTCCTCACTGTCTCTTCCCATGGCATGACTGAAAATTTACTTGTTAAGATTTTTTAATATCCACATAAGTGGGCAGCAGATGGACTTATCTGGACAGTGCTAGCAAAAGATTGGATTCTTTTTCAAGGCCTAACTCTGTTTTGAAATAACCAAATGATTAAAGTTACTTTGGCTTGCATTTTTAGAAAATTTTTTCAGCTTATAATTTGTCACTACTTCTCTAGATATGGCCTGGGTCTGTTAAAGTATCTTTTTACCAAATGGACCAAATTTCCAAAAGCCCAACCACATAAGGCTCCCTCCCATCTCTGTCTCTTTTTCTTTCTCCCAATTTCCTTTCCCCCATCTCTCTGCTAATGGTGAGATGTTCCTTTAGTTTTTGGTCTGCAGCATCACGAGAACTGGAAAACACTGCTCTAAGATGTGCTTCGTGCCATGTTAATAAATTAGATAAAGAACTTCATTTACACATTTCCAGGGCACCTGTTCCCAGAGCATCCAGGTGCAATTTCCATTGTCTCTTAACTTGCATCCATACCCTGGGCTGAACTTGAAATTTAGAGTGTCGTGTTTTTAATCGAAGAAAGTTCTAGAAAGTTTCTTCTGAATGTAGTGCATTGTTCTTTGGGACCGTGGATTGCATTCTCCAACTTAACAGCCTCCATTTCTTAAATGGCAGTTGTGAGTGTTCTTACAACAGACCATGGCCACATTAAGATGATGTATTTCCTGGGGAGGATGAGGGAAAGAGAATACTGTTATTTCTAAAAGTATAGACAGCCTGATAGCCAATTTTGGAGTCTGGGTGACATTTTAAATTGGTAATGCTCCTAATTACCCAAACCCTAGGAAACCGTATGGAATACAGCCACAGCTCTAGATTAATATAAGTGAGCACTGTGAACCCATTACTAACAGCATGTTCTCTCTTAGAATAATGGCACAGTATCTATGTCATCACAGTGTGATATTGCAGTTAAAATGCACACACACACATCTTAATAAGTCTTGTTTTTTGGCAAATTTTTCCTGCTATAATTTTTTAACTTTTCTAATTTTTCCAACAAACATACTGCTTTGTTTCCTTGTCAACCATTGTCTATTGGTATTGCCGTGTTGAAATGTCAGTTTTATAGAAGACGAATGTCAGCAAGCAATGTATGATAATAAAAAACATGAGCATGAAGGCAGACATGTTCAGAGTCAACTCTTAGCCTCCCTATTTATTGCCAGCTGAACTTGAGGTTGTTGTTCAGTGTCTCCGAGTTTCACAGATTTTTTTTAACCTATTACATGGGCATAATAATGTTGTCTACTCATATTGTTATTGTGAGGAGATAAAGCCAAGTAAAATGTCTTGTTCAAAGTTAGTGCCAAAAGATGCTGAGACTAAAAGACATCAATGAGACAGAAATACAGCAACTCGAAATTTCAATGATCAGGCTGAGATTCGAGCCTCAGCTCCAGCAGTGCTTGGAGAAAGGGGCTGACCACATACTATCCACCCCTTGCATGCAGGGTTCAGTGTTGGCCTTTTTGTGCCAGTAAATGGTGGTTTTCTTGATCTAAGATCCAGATCTGAACACAGAGAGTGGAAGAAAAATTTCATCACTCCACTACCTTCATCTGCTCCTACCCTCCAGAGAAACCTCTCCAACTTTATGGAGGGGGCTTGGTATAAAAGCACACACCTCACTTTTGAATTTTTCAAGACTATCTTCAGTGATTTCTAAACCTAGATATATCATTCCAAAAATTACTGGCCACAGTTTTCGTTTGTTTATGCTGATAGAATTGGTGGAGCAAGCTCATTTGTGACACCTACTTCTCTTGGCCCTAAGCATCCTCAAAGAAGTCCATGTTACAAAGAAACTATCATAATAGCAATAATTTGTGAAATATCAATTATGTGCCAAGTGCTTTGCATGTTTTCATATTATTTAATCTCTACATCCAATTCTAAGAGTGTTTGTTATTAACCCCATTTAACATGTGAGAAAAACAAGGCTCACAGAGATTCATAACCTTGCCAAGGTAAGGCCGCTAGAAACATCAAAGCTAGTATTTTAATAAGTCTGACCTCAACACCCAAAGCTGGCTTTGTGCCAGTAGCCAAGCACTTGTTTGTGTTTTCACACTTTTCTTTTTTTGTCTTCTTTCCTTTCAGGTGGTTCTAGATGTTGGTTGTGGATCGGGAATCCTGTCATTTTTTGCCATACGGGCTGGAGCTAGGAGAGTTTATGCAGTTGAAGCCAGTTCAGTAGCACAGTATGTTGAGGTAAGTGGTTGTAGTTTTAAGGCAGTTAATAAGTGGGTCTTTAGTATACTTCAGGGTACCCAGTGATGGAGTCTTCCAGGTAGGTCATTTAGAATAATTTTTTTTTTTTTTTAAACCAGTGATATGGTTTGGCTGTGTCTCCACCCCAATCTCATCTTGAATTGTAGTTCCCTTTATTGCTAGTGTTGTGGGAGGGAGCCGGTGGGAGATAACTGAATCATGGGAGCAGTTTTCCCATACTGTTCCATGGTAGTGAACAAGTCTCACAAGATCTGATGATTTTATAAGGGAAAACTCCTTTTTGCTTGACTCTCATTCTCTCTTGTCTGCCACTATGTAAGACATGCCTTTCACCTTCTACCATGATTGTGAGGCCTCCCCAGCCACATGGAACTGTGAGTCCATTAAACCTCTTTTTCTTTATAAATTACTCAGTATTAGGTATGTCTTTATCAGCAGTGTGAAAATGGACTAATAAAACCAGTCTCGGCCGGGCGCGGTGGCTCAAGCCTGTAATCCCAGCACTTTGGGAGGCCGAGACGGGCGGATCACGAGGTCAGGAGATCCAGACCATCCTGGCTAACACGGTGAAACCCCGTCTCTACTAAAAATACAAGAAAAATTAGCCGGGCGAGGTGGCGGGCGCCTGTAGTCCCAGTTACTCGGGAGGCTGAGGCAGGAGAATGGCGTGAACCCGGGGGGGCGGAGCTTGCAGTGAGCCGAGATTGCGCCACTGCACTCCAGCCTGGGGCACAGAGCAAGACTCCGTCTCAAAAAAAAAAAAAAAAAACCAGTCTCTAATTTTTGCTGTATTGGAATGTTACCGCCAATCAAGCCTGATTTCCCTGTAGTGATTGATATGACAAAATTAATTTTTTTAATTGTAACGATACTGAAATTGTAGCAAAATCTTCTCCCTTCCCATCCACTGGGTGGCAAATGGAGCTGGGGTAGAGGAAGGGAGACATGAATGTTTTCTTTAATTATCTGGGTGAGGAGTAATGTTTCACTACAGCTAGATTTATTTTTTTCTTTTTAAGTGTTGTAATGACAATAGCTACACCACTCTAAATTTTACTTTTGGTTTAAAGGGCTGTTGCTACATGGTTGTAGTAACAGGAAGAGACAGGTTTCTGCGTTTCAGGGAGCTTTTTAAGATTTCAGGTTCTGATTGGAGGAGAGGGAGAAGATTTGTTTTAAATGTAGTGCTCTATTATCATTATGAAATGTGAACAAATATTATAAAATAAGTCAAAGTCAAGAGTCAGGTAATAATGGCTTTCAGTAATATTTGGATGTAATAATAACCCAATCAAACTGCAGAATTGGATATGTGTGCACCTGTGTGAACAGGGTAATGCGCTTGCCATTCATACCTGGAGGAGGCCTGAATTTTAATGAGGGGTAGGATGACAGATAGAGAGAAAAGCTTGGCTGCTGCTTCAGATGAGCATTATGAAACCCTCTTCCAGTCCTGACAACTGGTACCTCTGAGTGATAGTTGGTTTTGGCGTAAGTGAGCAAAGAGGAACCCGGAGACAAATAAACAACTCTGCAATGTTTGGAGGGAAAGATTGTCAGAGTCTAATGGCTTGGTATGTTGTATTTTCTTTTCTTTTTCCAGCAAGTCCTGAAGAAAATATTTTCAGTCATTTTTTTCTTTACCAATTCTTAAATGTCATTTTTATTGAATATTGACTACATGCCAAATAATATTTGTGGGTATATATATATATATATATATATATATACAGTGTAAGGAATAACAATACAATGAATGTGTGCCTACTTTCCCTTTTAAGAAATAGACAATTAACATTTTCTTTAAAGGCCCATGTACCTTGTCCTGATCACATTCCTTTTTTTTTTTTTTTTTTTTGGAGAAGGAGTCTTGCTCTGTCGCCCAGGCTGGAGCACAGTGATGCGATTTTGGCTCACTGCAAGCTCCGCCTCCCGGGTTCACGCCATTCTCCTGCCTCAGCCTCCCAAGTAGCTGGGACTACAGGTGCCCGCCACCATGCCCAGCTAATTTTTTGTATTTCTTTTAGTAGAGACGGGATTTCACCATGTCAGCCAGGATGGTCTTGATCTCCTGACCTCGTGATCTGCCCTCCTTGGCCTCCCAAAGTGCTGGGATTATAGGCATGAGCCACCACGCCCGGCCCACATTACTTTTTTGCCCTGAACAGAGGTAGTCACTACTGTGAATTTTTGTTTATCATTCTCTTATTCTTTATACTTTTACCACATATATTTCTATTCCTAAAAACATATCACTTATGAACTTTCCATGAATGGGCTCATAAGTATGCATTCTCCTGCAATTTGCCTTTTTTCACCCAACATCGTGTTCCTGAGGGCCATCTTTGTTGATGCATACAGCTGTTGTTTATACATTTTCAATGCTGTGGAGTGTCTCATGATATGATATGCCTCAAGTTACTGGTCTTGTTGGCAGACTTTGGATGACTTCCATTATGAAAGTATTATTATGAATAGTTTTGCACACAGTCTCCACTGCGTCTTTGCTGAAGTTTCTCAGGCATACACAGGAGAGGAAATGTTGAGTCATAGGGTGTGCATACCTTCGACTTTGCTATGTAATGCCAAATTGTTTTCCAAAGTGGCTGTGCCAATTTTTATTCCCTCCAGCAGTATATGCGTGCCATTGTTCAGTGTCTTTGTCAGCACTTTGGTATTGTCAGACTTTGAAATTTTTGCCAATCTAGTGGTTATGACAGGATCTTTGTGGTTTTAATTTGTTTTTTCCACTTACTGATGACTTTGAACATATTTGCAAGTATTTTGGCCATTTGTGCTTTCTCTTCAGTAAAATGCCTATTCAGGTTTTTGACAATTTTTCTTTTGAATTGTCTAATTCTAATTTATTTGTAGGCATGAATTTTATTTTCTAGATATTAATCCTATATCAGTAATGTATGTAGCAAATATCTTCTCCCCATTTGTACCTTACATTTTCTCTTTCCTAATGGCCCTAGTCAGCTTTAGATATAGAGGTCTAAAAAAGAATAGAGAAAAGGAGGATAAAAATATGTAGAGAGAACTCCATAGATAAAAATGCCTCTGCTTAGATATTAGTAGATTTTAAAATGAATTCTCAAGGTGAGGGGTTGAGTTTAGAACTTTGTTTTAGGTGCTGCTTATTCATTTATTCATCTCTTTACTCAATTGCACTCTACAATTCCGTTGTTGGGCAATACAGGAGAAACAGTAACAATCAAGGTCTCTTCCTATATTCAAAGAGCTTTGATTTTTCATAAGGTATTGATCCTGTTGTATCTTATACAAGAGACCAAAAAATAAATTAAAAGAGTGGCATAAATAATTTGGGAGTTTTCTTTTCTTCATATAGTTTGTTTTTTCATATATTTTAAAGTGGTTTGAGATACTTTAGCTACTTTTAAAACCTTAAACATCTAATATCCTTGGATATAGTACTTAAAGAAAAAGAGGAAGAAATTAGCTAGAGATATTCTCACCTTCCTGAGCCATAATCCTGTCTCCAGCCATAGCAGGTGCAAGTACACTGTGGTTGTGCCTGTGAATAGCCACTGTACTCCAACCTCGGCAACACAGCAAATCCCTATCTCTCATAAGCAAATAAGTAAATAAAAAGAGCTCAAAGACTACTGAAATTCCCTTTCCCTAGATTCACCTATTGTTTACATTTCACCCTGTTTGCTTTATCATTTGTTCTAGCTTGCCTTCCCACCACATGCAAACATACATTAATATTAATATGTATACACATATGTATATGAACACACATATGTATATGAGCACACACATTTATGAACATATAGACACATATGAACATGAATGTATATATGAAAAAATACACATATGTATATGAACACTATGAGTGTACATGTATGTATATGAACACACATGTAAGTATATGAACACATATACATGTATGTATATGAACACATACATATACGTCCAGAGATATAGAGACACATACTTTTTCTATGGGTCAGTTATATATATCATAGCCATAACCCTTTATCATTAAGCATTTCAGTGTGTATTTCCTAAAAACAAGACTTTTATATAACCAAAAGAGAACTTGATTTAAAGCTGAAGAATAAGCTATATGATGACTTTCTCATTCAGTCTTTCAGTGTTGGTGGTAACAGGTGTTTGCAGTGGTCCCAGCATGAGCAGGGAGACTGTCACCATGGTGCTGAGGTGAGAGGAGTCTATACTTAACTGCCTCTTCCCTTCCCTTGCATAGTATTTCTAGGAAGGCTTGATTTTTGGGGTGGTGGCAGCGGGGGGACTGGGTCTTGCTCTTTCACTCAGGCTGGAGTGCAGTGGTACGGTCTCGGCTCACTGCACACTCTGCCTCCCGGGTTCAAGCGATTCTCCTGCCTCAGTCTCTTGGAGGCATGATTTTGAAAACATTAGAACCAAAGCTCTAAGGAATTCCAAAGCACCATAGTTTATCTTTGGTTTTAGCTGCTGTAGAGGATTTGTGTGTTACAGGAATCTTTCTTTTCTATGTACAACTGGGGCAGGTTGGGGACAGGAGTGGCTTTCCAAATGCTGTCAGGGACTGCTGGGAGCCCTTGAAATCCTTGCTCGCAAGTCTGTTTTGCTCCTGAGGCTTCCCCTGCATGTGGTGCTAAGAACAGGCTGGTTAAAAATGTATTCAGCGCCAAGGATGATTAGAATCTTCTCAAAGTGTGGATTTAACAACAGACTGGTCCCTCCTGAAATCCATGGCCTCTACTCTGCCCATAGCTCCTGTGTGGGTGTCATGAGATGCTCCCCAGGGACCAAGGCCCTTTCACCTTGTGGAGGATGATCTGTACCAGCATGTGGTTTTTGCTTCTCACACCAACACTCATCTGTACAGTTTGTGGGTGGCAAAATGCGACTGTGAACAGCACGGAAAAGAATTTTACTCTAAGAATAGGCTGAACTAGCAGCTCCGCACACAGTGCATGGTGCTCCTTTCGACCTTTTCATTACTG